TCTTCTCTGGTTCTACTGTTAAGCAAGGAGAGCTTGAGGCTGTTGTAATTGCTACTGGAGTACATACCTTTTTTGGTAAAGCTGCTCACTTGGTAGACAGCACGAACCAAGAAGGTCACTTTCAAAAGGTACAATTTTTAGTACTTTTACATTTTCTTTTGCTGTATTTATATCGTTGGCTCATATATAAAAGTTTATTTTATCAAATCCTACTGCAAAAGAATAAAAAAAATATGGAATATTCAATGTGTGTAAAAGCATTTCATGAATTTTAATTTGTTCAGGTGTTGACAGCCATTGGTAACTTTTGCATTTGTTCCATAGCTGTTGGTATGGTTGTAGAAGTTATTATTATGTATCCAATTCAGCACCGACCCTACAGGAATGGAATTGACAATCTATTGGTCCTTCTCATTGGAGGCATTCCGATTGCCATGCCAACTGTGTTGTCAGTAACTATGGCTATTGGTTCCCATAGACTCTCCCAGCAAGGTGCCATTACGAAGAGAATGACAGCCATTGAGGAAATGGCTGGAATGGATGTTTTATGCAGTGACAAGACTGGCACTTTAACTCTGAACAAACTCACTGTAGACAAGAGTTTAATTGAGGTTAGTAGATGCAGATCACGGAAAAATTATTTTTAAGTTCATTATTTATGTATGATGAAAGCGACTTGCCTATATTGCAGGTTTTCGGAAAAAATGCTGATAAGGATACTGTAATTTTACTTGGAGCTCGAGCTTCTAGGGTGGAGAATCAAGACGCTATTGATGCTTGCATTGTTGGAATGTTGGGTGACCCAAGAGAGGTTCGTAACTTTATCATTAAGAATATAGATTTTGCTTGTTTGAAATGGATGAATGAGTATTTGAATCTTACGTATTTTTTTCACCTCTTGTTGCAGGCAAGAGATGGTATCAAAGAGGTCCATTTCTTACCCTTCAATCCAGTAGACAAGCGCACCGCCATAACATATATCGATGACAACGGAAATTGGCATCGAGCAAGCAAAGGCGCACCGGAGCAGGTAAATATATACTTTTAATGGTACGAAATTCATCTTTCTTAATTTTTTTACTATATTTCTTTTTACAGATTATAGAGCTCTGTCGTCTTCGGGAAGATGTGAAGAAAAAAGTTCATGCCATTATCGGAAAATTTGCTGACAGAGGTCTCCGTTCCCTTGCTGTTGCCCAACAAGTAAGTTATTTGTAACAATGTTTCTTTCAATAATAATAATAATAATAATAATAATAATAATTTAAGTTAAAGCCTAATTATCTACTACTAACAGGAAGTTCCAGAGAAAAGCAAGGAGAGTAGTGGAGGACCGTGGCAATTTGTGGGTCTCTTGCCTTTGTTTGACCCACCTAGACACGATAGTGCAGAGACAATTAAACGTGCTCTTCATCTTGGGGTGAACGTCAAGATGATTACCGGCGATCAATTAGCTATCGGGAAGGAGACTGCTCGGAGACTTGGAATGGGAAGTAACATGTACCCGTCTTCCTCCCTTCTTGGCGATCACAAGGATGAATCTGTTGCTGCACTTCCCGTCGAAGAGCTTATTGAACAGGCCGATGGATTTGCTGGTGTTTTTCCTGGTAAATACTTGTCTAAACTTCTTTTCTATTCCTTAATCATATTTCCAGTTCAACATTTGATAATAATTTACTGCAATCTTTCTATATTAATGTATATGCAGAGCACAAATACGAGATTGTGAAAATACTTCAAGAGAGAAAACACATATGTGGAATGACAGGAGATGGTGTTAATGATGCTCCTGCCCTCAAAAAGGCAGATATTGGAATTGCAGTAGCTGATGCAACGGATGCAGCTAGAGGTGCATCCGACATAGTACTAACAGAGCCTGGCCTCAGTGTGATTGTGAGTGCAGTTTTGACCAGTAGATCCATTTTTCAGAGAATGAAGAACTACACCATTTACGCAGTTTCCATCACAATAAGGATTGTGTTTGGCTTTTTACTGATTGCACTTATATGGAAATTTGATTTCTCACCTTTCATGGTTTTAATTATTGCAATACTAAATGACGGAACAATCATGACCATCTCGAAGGACAGAGTAAAGCCATCCCCTTTGCCTGATTCATGGAAGTTGGATGAGATTTTTGCCACAGGCGTAGTTCTTGGTACTTACCTCGCTCTCATGACGGTTGTCTTCTTCTGGGCTGCTCACGGTTCTGATTTCTTCACCGTAAGCATGGATTTTATTTAAGACATGTTTTGTTTTAGAAGATTATTTCAGGTTTAACACAAGTACAACAATGTTTGCAGGAAAAATTTGGTGTTAGATCTATCAGATCAAACCCAGATGAGCTTACCGCGGCTGTTTACCTTCAAGTAAGCATTGTAAGTCAGGCTCTTATATTTGTAACTCGATCAAGGAGTTGGTCTTACTTTGAGCGCCCTGGCTTTTTGCTTATCACCGCATTTATAGTTGCACAACTGGTGAGTTGTTATATATGGTTCATTTATTTGCAAGCATGTTTCAACTGTAACAAATTACTAACCCAGCATCATCTTTTTTATAAGTAGATTGCGACAGTTATAGCCGTTTATGCAAATTGGGGTTTTGCAAGGATGAAAGGGATTGGATGGGGCTGGGCTGGTGTCATTTGGATCTATAGTATCATCTTCTACATCCCATTGGATATTTTGAAATTCGCAATTCGATATTACTTGAGTGGCAGGGCATGGAATAATATCACCGAAAATAGGGTAAAAAAAATGTTAATGTTATTTTCATTCCTTAAATATTGATTTGCTTGTTCTTACATATCCTGTGATTTATACAGACTGCATTCACTTCAAAGAAGGATTATGGAAAGGAAGAACGAGAAGCACAATGGGCTATTGCTCAACGCACATTACATGGGTTGGATCCTCCTCAAAACGAACACACTTTTTCAGAAAGAACTAACTACCGTGAATTATCTGAAATTGCAGAACAGGCAAGAAAACGAGCTGAAGTTGCAAGGTAATGTCATTTAATATTAATCTATACAATATTTATTCAATTAAGTAAACTAAGATTAGTTTATTCAATAACTTGTTTTTCTTTTTTCTCTTCAGATTGCGGGAACTTCACACATTGAAGGGACACGTGGAGTCGGTTGTGAAATTGAAAGGACTCGACATTGATACAATTCAACAGCACTACACTGTTTGAGTGAAAGACTAGTTTTTTTTTTCCATGTTTTCTTATTATTTTTCTTAAATTTAGCTCCATTCCAGAGATTCGACAAAAGAATCAAACTATGGGTAGATGTTCTTCTTAATTTTATTTTAAACCATTTTGAAATCGAAGGATATAGCATTATTAGTCATAATTTTTTAACCATTTGAAAGATATAATGTTGAATATGGTTGAAGTAGAATTTCATTTCATGTAGAATGCTTCGTACATTTAAATATCTTCAACTTTATTATCTAATTTAAATTTACAATTCTTCAATAAATTTAAATTGAGTTACAAAATATTAAATACGATTTATTTTAGGTGGTATTTTTTTTTCAAATTTAAATATATTTATTTGAAACTTAAATATATTTAGTAAGTCTTTAATAGTAACGATGATGGATAAATAATTTACATAAACAACAATTTTAACATAATGTTAATAGTTAATTGTTAATTGTAATCTAACCACACTTTTTTAAATATAAAATTTTTTATATTGTTATCACTCACATCAAGTTTTTATATATTGCCATTATAAACAAATATCTAAAATATATATTTAAATTATAGAAAAATCAAAATAATATACAAAAATTAGTAACAGACTTAATATATTTAAAATTTTACATAATACAAAACATATTTTACCCTCATTAAATTTTAATATACTTTTCAATTTTGATATAATAAAGAGAGTAATTGGTGTTTTTTTTTGTGAAATAAAATTCACTTAATAAGCCAATAGTTTTAATTTTCAAATGTCTGGTAGCAAATCGATTTAAATTGCCTATCCACTTTATTTGGTTTCTCAAAAACACAGCACAAATTAAAAAGAATAAAATGAGAATTACTTGACGAGTATCCCAAATAACTATGATCAAATTAGGTACGGATATGTTATAGGAATATACAAAAGTTATTAGAAGACTTCTTTCTACTTATTTAACTAAGAGTTAACAATAAACTATTATTTTTTAACTTTTCTTTTTATAAATCAAGCTTCTGATATAAGTAGGTAGGCTCAAGTCAAACAGACTAATTTAAAGTCTTTTTTTTTTGTTTTCTTTCTCACTGAAATCTAAAGTCAGAGTCAAAGTGTAACATCAGTTAATGTGCTATTAATGTTGAAGTCTACTTAGGAATCACAAATTTTTTTTCTGTTCATATTTGTTCTCAGATAGATAATTCTCATGCATCCATCACATTATAATCAAATCTATCATTTCCCATTCAATACAAATCAAACTTCACTTTACCAACCAACACAACGTTACATAAACATAATAATTCATCTTCTTTCTTCATTCAACATGAAAGTATATGGTATGAAACAATGCTCACCATCAAGCTAAGATTTCATATTCAAACCAAATAAAAAGAAGTTTGGTATGCATGCAAATGCTTGGGAATGAGGAATTCACAGCACTTGGGCCACCACTTAAAGCAAACACAGAAGCAATTAAGTTGGCACGTAAATCTATGAAACTTAATTACTTCCATTTTTACTTTCCTTGCTTCTGCAAGTCTTCTCTGTATATAAATTAAGAAGGAAGAAGGCTCAGCTTAATTTCAGTCGTTTAATCTGCGAATGTGTCACTTACAGAGAGCGCATGGTTAAACAGCTTGCAGAACCATTAAAGTCGGTAACTGTACCACCACCATCTTCTTTTCAACGTTATTTACTTCTCTTATGAATCTTCACGCTGCATTTAAACCCTCCACGCATATTCATACACGCACAATCATTGAACTTCCATCACTGTCACTCTCTCTATATATATATATGTCATGAACAAATCAAACCATTCCATAGCCATCAGAAATGAAACCAAATGCAGTGACTACAGCTCTATGTACATTTGTTTTCTTCATTCTCTGTTTTTCTGCAGAAACCAAAACCAGCACTTCTAGAACATACAGAAAAGGCAGACACAGTGGAGGAGGAGGAAGAAGAACAAGAGGATCAAACTGTGATCCTTTTTACTTGTATCTCTATGGAACATGCGGACATTGGCCTTTTCCTACGTGTTCTTCCCCTCAAAACCCTTTTGATCAAACACCAACTCCATCGTATTCTTTTCCTCCGCCGATAACTTACACACCGAGAATCCCTCCGCCGGTCACTTACACCCCGAGAATCCCTCCAAAGCTAAGATATTTTCCACCACCTTTCTTACCTCCACTGGTGCATTATTCTGCCCCACCGCTGCCGCCACCATCACCACCTCCTCCGTCCCCACCACCCCCTTCACCGCCACCGCCTTCCCCGCCTCCCCCGTCCCCGCCTCCACCGGCTTGTTCACCGCCGCCTCCACCGGCTTGTTCACCGCCGCCGGTTAAACCCTGCTGCCCTCTTCCACCTAATCCACCCTGCTGTCCTCTTCCACCTCTTCCACCGGCGCCGCCGTTAGTTCCGTCACCACCGCCACCTGCTCCTACCTTACCGCCATTGGTAATTCCACCTCCGATGTCTCAAATGCCAACATTCCCATGGCTGTCACCTCCGGACCCCTTCATCTTTGATCCACAACCAGCACCTCCACTTGTTCCGTTCACATCTTCGCCACCTTTTCTCATCAACCCAACTCTTCCGGACCCTTCTTTACCTCCTCCACTGCTACCCACGCCGTTTCTTTCAACTCCGCCGTTTTTTCCTATGCCGCAGACACCTGATAATGCTGTGTTTCCACCACCTTTGGCTGCAGAGGTGCCACCTACTTTTGTCACGCCGGGAACGCCGGTGATGCCGGATGACCCACCGTCCTTCACCACACCGGCTGATTCTCTGTCACCGCCGGAGCTGCCGGAGAATCCCCCGGATGTTTCACTGCCACCGCCGGAATTGCCGGAGGATCCGCCTGATACTTCCTTGGGGCCACCAGATACGACGGAGGAGCCACCGGAGAATTCTGCTCCCGACCCCGAAGAGCCACCGGAGAATTCTGCTCCTGACCCCGAAAACCCACCGTCGAAACTCATCAGCAGCAGCGAATGATTCTGATGTTTATGCCGCACTCAAGCTGAGTGTGTTTAAATTATGTTCCACTTTTGTTCTTTCCTTTCCTTGAAGTTTCAAAATCATGTCCCATGTATTATATCTTAAAATAAGGACAATTTAAGCTGTATTTAAGCTTCTTTTAAATATTACATGTCACAACATTAATGGAGTTAACCTTTTTCTTAAAATCTAATTATAATAGTTTGGCAAATAAAAAATAGTTTTTTTCCTTTAATTTACATTTAATTTTTAACCACAATTTCCTCTGGCAAACGGAGAGTCAGGGTGGATAGAATAAAAAAATGGAGATTTCAGATCTGAAAATTTGGATCTGTGACGCCTTTTTTCTGAATTCAAAGTTGAATTTAGTTTCAAACAAAACTCATATAAATACACAAGAACAAGTAGTTGGTATAGTTGGGTAGTTGAAATCGTTGTGATAGAAATCAGAAAAGCAGAAAAAGAATTGTATGAAGAAAGAATCATAAAACAATGTCAGAAGAAGAATTACAGTTACCTGCTGAATGCTGGGAATTGGTATTCAAATTCCTCAATCCCATTCCTCACTTCGAACCTCTCTCCCTTGTCTCAACCCAATTCCTCTCCATCACCAACCTCCTCCGAACCTCCCTCACCATATCCAATCCTACGCTTCCCTTTCTCCCCAACCTCTTCCGTAGGTTTTCCTCCATCACCTCCCTTAATATCACGGGCCTCCACCACTCCCACCTCCACACGCTCCTCCTCCAACTCTCACGCGCCGCCCTACCGCTCCAATCCCTCAACCTCTCCGGCCACCCCTCCCTCCCCTCAAATGGGTTGCGCGCGTTCGCCAGAAAGATCCCAACTTTAAAATCCCTCACCTGCTCCCACATGACTTGTCTCCGAAACGCCGATCTCCTTCTAATAGCTGACTGTTTCTCTTTTCTCGAACATCTCGACCTCAGTTTCCCTGAAAATAACGACAATTCAACCGACCCAGTTTCCGATTTCGGCGTAAAGGCTCTCTCTTTGGCCCTCCCCAAGCTCCGTAGAGTTAACCTATCCGGCAATTACTTCATCAGCGACACTTCCATTCTCAGTCTCTGCAAGAACTGCGAGCTTCTCGGAGAAATTATAATCCTCGAGTGCCACTTCATCACGCAGCGTGGCATCGCTTCTGCGATTCGTGAAAGACCGTGTTTGCGTTCTTTCTGCGTTAGCAATTTCGGGTATGGAACAAAGAAGGGTGACATTGCCAGACCCTATGTGACTTATGATTTCATCAGTGCGTTGGTGGGTTTGAAGGGCTTGACTTGTCTCGATTTATCATGTTCTTCTATCTCTGATGAGTTGCTATGCTGTGTTGCGGAGGAAGGGATTCCTTTGAAGAAGCTTGTTTTACAAGGTTGCTGTAACTACACTTACGTTGGAGTGTTGTGCTTGTTGTCCTCATGTCAGTCAATGGAGCATTTGGATCTTCAAAACACCGAGTTTCTTTGTGATCGGCGTGTGGAAGTGTTGTGTGAGTTTCTTGGGAATTTGGTGTCTATAAATGTCAGTGGTTGTAGGACGTTAACTGATTTAGCTTTGTTTGCACTCATTAAGAACTGTCCTCTGTTGAATGAGATCAAAATGGAGGCAACAGATGTTGGGAAGAAGGGGGTCGATGAGGAGTTGGTGAATGGTGTTGTGAATTATCGAGTGAAGTCTCTCTATTTGGGAAGAAATTCCTGGTTGAGGGATGAAAGCCTTGAAATGATTGCTTCTGTTTGCCCCAGTTTGGAGGTGCTCGATTTGAGCTCTTGCTGTGACATATCTGAAGGTGTTGTTGAGGTTTTAAGGAGGTGTAGCGAGGTTAGGAATTTGAGCTTGGCCTTTTGTTCAGGAGTGAAGTTAAAAGGGCTGGAATTTGAAGTTCCAAAACTAGAGGAGTTGAACTTGTCAGGATCAAGAGTTGATGATGAAACACTTTCTGTGATCTCAAAGTATTGTCGTTGGTTGCTGCATTTGGACTTGGAAAATTGCTATAAGGTGACAGCCAATGGAGTTAGGGAAGTGGTAGATAAGTGCAGGCGATTGAGGGAGATTAATTTGGTGTCATGTTGTGAAGTGGAAGCTAGTGTTGTAGCTTGGATGGTATTTTCAAGGCCATCATTGAGAAGGATAATGGCCCCCCCGAGTTTTGATCTTAGTGGTGGCCAGAGGGAACTTCTCTTGCGTCATGGTTGCATAGTTAGCTTGTAATGTGTGTATGTGTGTTATAGGTCTGCAATGAAGTCTGAAATGGAGAATGTTTTTGGTTCCTTGAGCTGGTTCTCTGAGAAATTGAAGTTGGATAAAGAAGGGAGAAATGGTTGTTTAATTCATTGTATTTGAGTGTTTGATCACAAGTTTAGGGATGATTATATGTAATTGTGTTTGGCTTTTTGTTTTTGTTCTGATAATGTTGTAACCATTATAAGGTGTGATGTGAATAGCATACGTTGTAAGTAGTTGGAGTTGAGTGTTACAAACCAACAGATCCAGATTGTATTAATTGTAAGCTTCTGGGTTATGCTGATCTGTCTTGCCTTGAATTCTATCATACTTTTACGACATACAGAATAAAGGTGAAATGGTAATAAAGAAATATTTTTTTGTAATTTTTAAAGAAATAAAAAAAGTAAAAAATAATATTAAATTAATGTAAAAAATTTATGTTTTTTAAAATATCATTTTTCTTTCTCATACTTCCTTTTATAAGAGAAAATTTCTTCTTTGTCCTTAACATTACTCATATTACATAATTCAGACCACACAAAAAGAGGTTATTCACTTAATTTTAAAAAAAAGTTGTAAACTTTTTGTTTTATATTTTTAATTTATCTATTTTTCTAATAAGAAAACTGACACTAAATTTTAAAATCATAATATGTACATATAATATTAAAATGATTATTTTAAATTTTCTATTAATGTGCATATTAAGCATAAAAAACTAAGGAAAAGGCGTGAATTGAGTGATATTGATTTTGAGAAGAAAAAAAAGTAAAAGAAAAGAAGAATGGAAATTGTGGGCTATGAGTTTGATTTCAGCCCATAATATTTGTGAATCTTAGTCTCTTCAAACTCATTGTGGGCTGAATTGGGTCATAGGTTTTGCCAATTTTCCGATAGTTTAAAATATTGTAAAAGTTAATTTTTGAATGTGAATAATAAAAAATATTAAAAGAATAAATTTCATTCCAATAATCTCTAATTTTTTCTACTTAAAAATAAATAAAATTAATCTATTATCCGAAAGTAAACTTGGTCATTTAATTAGAATGGTCTAAATTTGACCTAATAATAAAAAAGTTTTGAGAAAAATCAAGAATGGCATCATCAATATTCTCTCATTAAATAACTTGATTTTAAAGACATTAATGTAACTTACCGTAAACATTTTTAAGTGTGCAGTAAACTCAAAAAATTCCAAATTCGATTCCGAACAATTATAAATTTCCACGACTGAAATTAAGCAGTTGAATTTGCCCTATTTATGGGATGCTAAATTGAAATTGTAAAATATTATTGAAATTAAAATTATTTAAAATATTCAAATCCTTATATACATCTTTAGTGAAATTAATTTTAAACTTTCTGTTAAAAGAATATCTACAATTTACTCAAAAATAAATATTACAATTCATTTTATCACGAAAATCCAGATTTTCTATTGAGTTTTCTGTGTTTTTTTTTTCTGAATTCACTTTCAAGTTGGTATATTAATTTTTTTTAATGATATTATGAAATATTTTTATATTTCTTTTGACATAATAAAATAGTTATAAAATATAATTTTTTTGTATTTTTTAAAAAAGAAATAAAAAAATAAAAAAATAGTATGAAATAAATATAAAAAATTTATATGTATCAAAATATATTTTTCTATTTTCTAATATATTTTCCCAACTACAATTATTCAAATGGAGATCATATGTTATGACCAATATTATTAAATGGCATCAAGATGAACAAGAAGACCATAGACTGTGAATGCATTATGCATGAATCATTTGAGAAGTCATGGTGTGCTGAGTTGAATACCTTGTATTCAAGGAAGTAAGGCGCTGCACTTCCATATACAAATTTCATTGCCATCATAAGACGGTGATTTTTTTTATCTCTTCACACAACATAATGCAGTCTAAATGTTTGATGAATGGTTTTCATCTTTGTGGACTGTAAATCTTAGTCTAACAGTAAGACCAGACTGTTCCTATGAAAAATGTGAAGACTGACCCAAATGAAAATATATGTATGAAAAGTAAAAGCCTGAAAAGTGAAAGTTACAGATCACCATAACATGCCAGCCAAAGAAGCAAAAGACTTTTTGGAGCTTCATGATTAGGACCAGCACCAGTCAAATACAAAAAAGAAGGACCCTTCTTTTTGAATCAAGAGCTTCCTTTCGTCACCTTGATTACCAAATCCTCACCACTTTTTAACACCTCCAAAACTTGCTAAATAAATAGCCTCTGATTAATCATATCTGATTTCATGATCACTTGAATCCTTCCTCCATCTTAATCCTGTTGATAGAGTGCAAAACATGACTGTGAAAGATTTTCCTGAAGAATGTTGGGAATCAGTATTCAGATTCCTTGGCCTTGGTCATCATCATTTGGAGTCTCTATCTCTGGTTTGCAAGCAGTTTCTTGCCATTACAAATAGGCTTCAATTCTCTCTCACAGTGTATGATCCAACCATTCCACTTCTTTCTCGGTTGTTGCTTAGATTTCCAAGGCTCAAAATCTTAGACCTGAGTCTCTTGAATGGCCACCATGAAGGCTTGCTTCGTCAAATTTCACAATCTGGGTTGGAGCTTGATTTGATTAATCTATCCAACCAGAGAACACTTCCTGTTGATGGCTTGCGAGAACTTGGCTCAAACATGAAAAATTTGAGGGTTCTGATCTGCTCAAACATTGGCTCTCTTCGTGATAGTCATCTGGTAATCATAGCTTATTGTTTCCCATTGCTTGAAAAGCTTGACATAAGCTTCCCATTGAATTCCCAAGCATCTGATTTTGGGGTTCTAAGGCTTTCTTCTATGCTTGAGAATCTTCGCAAGATTAATATCTCTGGTAATCATTTGATCACTGATAAATCATTGTTCTCTCTTTGCCAAAACTGTTTGTCATTGGAAGAGATTTCATTCTTCATCTGTTTTAAGATCACTCAAACAGGCATTGCCTCTGCGATCCGCCTCAGACCCGGTTTGAGCTCCATTGCCTTTAACATTGAAAAGAAAAGAATACATGGACCTGGTTTAACACTCACCCCCATTGACTTGAATTTGATCGATTCATTCAGGACTTTGAAAAGGTTAACTGCTATTGATTTGTCGAATTCTGTTATCTCGGATGAGTTTCTCTTTGCGGTTGCAGAAGGTGCAGGTCTTCTGCTAAAGAAGCTTATCCTCCAAGACTGTTGCAATTGTACATTTTCAGGAATCTCTTATGTGTTATCCAAATGCCAATCTGTTCAATGCTTGGATCTTCGGAAAGTTGATTTCTTAACTGATCAATGTATCAGCAAGTTATCTGTATTTCTTCTTAGCCTAACCACTATAAACCTCAGTGGTTGTTGCCAGCTGACAAATTCAACATTTTTCATTCTCACAAGAAACTGTCCTTTGCTCAGTGAGATCAAAATGGAAAGGACATATCTTGGGGTGGAAGGGGAAGAAGATTCAATGGGGGATTTTGCTGTCAACCTTGAAGTGAAAAAGGTGTTTTTGGGTGATAATGTTTTGCTGAGTGATGCAAGTTTGGTAAAATTCGTTTCCATTTGCCCCAGTTTGCAGCTTCTTGACTTAATCGGTTGTGAGGGTGTTTCTGGTGAAGGTGTTGTTGAGGTTTTGAAGAGATGCAGTGAGATAAGGCATTTGAACCTGGCTAATACAGGAATGGAAGTGTTTGATATAGACTTTGAAGTTTCGAACCTGAAGGTGTTGAACTTGTCAGGGTCAAAAATTGAGGATGAAACTCTCTCAGTAATTTCAAGAAGGTGTGGTGGACTACTACTTCTGGACATTCAGAGTTGCTGGCATGTTACAGCAAAGGGTGTTAGAGAAGTAGTACAAAACTGCAAGACATTGAAGGAGTTGAATCTGAAGAATTGTAGGTTGGTGAGTGATGATTTTGTTGCTTGGTTGGAGTTTTCAAAACCATCATTGAGAATAATAGTCACACCTACTGATGTTGGTGCTTATTTCTGATATGAAGCTGAGGAAAATCATTGAGATGTGGACACCGTCTTGGTTGTTAGAGTGTTAAGAATCATGTGTGTTAAGGGTAGTGCTATTTTAACAACACATTCCACAACAAAGGAAAAGAAAAAGTAAAGTGAAGAGACCAAAATATGTAAAATAAGATGGATGATTTGATGAATTTTTTTTATGGGAATTTATTGTTAAAATAGCATTGCACTGATAATAGCATTTTTATGAAAGTTGGAAGTCGTAGCTGTGTTGTGTGTGAATTTTTTTTGTATGTTGATATTTCGTGTTTGAGGAAAAAGTTGAGGCATGTAACATTTGAATTTGTTGTTTTTGAGAAGAAGAAAATAATATTATATCACATTATATTATGTAATATTATGTAATATTATGTAACTACTTATAGCATGCAAACAACATAAATTATATTATTTTTTTTTGTTGAATTCTAAGTGTGAAAATAAATTTATTTCCATTCATAAGGTGGCCTAATACCATATGATTACAGCTTTGCGGTTGGACCATTTAATCACAATCTTTGTATCAGATCAATAGAGAACATAGACGAGCTGAGGCAGTGAGTTGTTGAATTTATACAAGTTGAAGAAACGAGACTTTCGACGAAAAATAATACAAAAAGTCTCAACGAGTGATAAGAAGGCAGAAAAGAAACCACATAGGAAAGAGAATGACACTCACCTCAAGGAGCTGCTAAGGGGGCACGATTTCACCACTATTGTGCTCCTAATGCACCCAAGACAAAGATACTTGAAAAAGCTCTAAGTGTCGAGTTGCTCGCCCCTTTGAAGAAGAAGTTCACCCCTCAAAATGATAACGTCAATAAGCATACATGTACTATAAGAATATGGGACACACAACGGAGGAATGCACCACCAATCATGAGAAAATAGATAAGTTGGTCCGAGTAAGCCACCTCAAGAAATGCATAAAAAACGAGCGAGAGGAGAGAAGCCCACCTTGCAGGTGTACTCTTCAGAGAAGTATTTGCCGCAGTTTGAGAACCGAGTATCGTAGAGAACCTTCCGATACACATATGTTGAATGTCTTCTAGGTCAATGGGCCTTGCTTTGAACATAGGTGAAGCGCCTTCATGGTTCAACACCTAGGTTGAATGTCTTCTAGGCTGATGAACTTTGTTTAGCACATAGGATAAACAACACAAGGTTAAAAGTCTTCTAGATTGATAGGCCTTCTTTAGCCCATATACTAGATGCCTTTATTGTTTAAAACAAGTTGAACATTTAGGCATATGAGCCTTGTTTAGTATATAGACTAAATGTCTTTATGACTCAATGATGAACGTTTGACAAGTATACCAATCGTTATTGTAGTAACAAAATATCGTCCTCTAGGATTGAATGAGTGGAGTACAAGATTATTAATTCACATAATTTTGAGCAACAAAAAATATCAAGTGAAATGATGAACATAAACAAGTGATGGAAATTCAAATAATATAAATAATGTTAGAGAATTGATTTCATACGTTTTCATATAAATTTCTCCCTTTCCAATTGATGTGTGAATTGTAATTATCCACTTGAGTTTATTAATTCCTTAGATAGGCAAACTTATCTATTGAGTTCTAACCCCCAATCCCTTAGGTCAGTTACAAAATTCAATAAAATCATGAAGAACAATTATTATCTCAATTGCAAACTAATTAGCTATGTCCAATTTTCCAATTGTGACAACATCTAATTTGTTATATTTCTAATAGCAAACAATCCCCAATTTCCCAATTGTGAAAATGCTCATAGAATAGACATTAGAACATAAATAAAACACTGAGATAATTAAAATTAACAAAGCATCAATTGAAAAGGTTCAAAATTATAATCCAAAGTATTACATCAATCCTCTAACAAAAAGGAAAATTAATTATGCATAATGTAAAATTCCAAAGAAAAACTAAAAGAAGAAGAAGAAGTGTAGAGTCGTTCCGTGCTTTCTTGATTTCCCCTCTTTCTCCCAATTGTTACATTTAAATTGTTATCTCCCTCACTTTTCCTCTAATTCCCTCTTTTTATGGGAGTGGTTACCCTCTTCTAGTAACTGTCTTTCATTTCTCTATTTTTTTAATCTCTTTAAATCCACATAATGAGATGTTAGTAACTGCTCTAAACAATTTCACTGCTCATGGAAAAATCCACAATCTGCTTGTGCTCTTCTCTGGTTTGCATTCTATTTCTCTCAAGACAAATCCACATGCTGTGTAAATTTTCATAGCTCAATTGTGAAACTCTCCAGTTTCAACTCTGCATTTTGGAGACAGTTCCACACATTGTGAAAATGTTCACAGCTAAGTTATGAAACTCTCTAGTTTTAACTCTGCATCTTGGACATCAATTCTTCCAAAGTTGTGATTTTAACACTAAGAAACACTTATCTACAAGAAAAACACAAAACTCAAATGTATGATTCGAAACAAAGATAATTCACAATGAAATCATTTAATTAATGCAATTATATATGCAAATGGCCTAAACTAAGATATGAATGCAATCACATTTTATTCACCCAACACATAGATTGATTGTCTTTTAGGCTAATGAGCCTGCTTTAGTACATAGGCTAAATGTATTTAAGGTTCAAAACATAGGTGGAATGTCTTCTAGATCCGCTAACATTGTTTAACACATAGGTCGAACATATTCACGATTCAACACAAAGTTAAGCTTATCTAAGGCGGATGAGCTTTGTTTACCTTGTAGACTAAATGTTTTTATGGTTCAACTTATAGATTAAACATAGTTTAGGTCAAAGGACAATGTTTAACACATATGCTAAATATCTTAATCGTTCATCATATAGATCCAACATCTTCTTGACCAATGAACCATTTTTGACACATAGATTGAACGTCTTCTAGGTCGATGGGCTTTGCTTAGAATATAGAGTAAACACCTTCTTGATTCAACACATTTGTTGTTTTTAGTTGCTAGAATAAGTGCATCATTGTCTATTTTAGTTTCATTTTCTGTTTTGGATTTGTTGTTTTTATAGGTTAAAAAACATTGCTTTCATTTTGAGATTAATTGTAGTATTCTTGATTGAAATAATTTGCTGTTGAGTTCTTGCTTCACTAACCAGTTTTTATTATAATAATTAGTGTTGTTGATCTAGTCAGTTTGGCTAACCCTTTTTGCTGAGTTGGTGAGTGTTAATGATTCCTTTTTATGATTCTAACTCTCGTCAAGGAGGAATGCTCCGACTCGCATTTAGGAAGAAGATGAATGAAGAAAATCATCCAAGAAACCGAAGACCAAACAACCAACACAAAGCAAAGAAAACAGAAATCAATAAGAACGGGAGGAAGGTTTTCGGAACGAGGGTTTCAAAAACTAGATTTTGGGAAGAAATAGTTTTGAAAAAACGAAATTTTCAAACCCGCGCTACTACCACTACAAATCCTAATTCCACGTCATAAAAAATTAATTGAAAAACAATTACATCTGGATCAATGTTTTGACACGTCACAGTGTAAAAAACAATGGTAAAAAACATGGTCAACATATCATTTTCCTTTTTATTTTCTATTAGTCTTTTTTTAAAAGATAAAAAAAGTATGTAAAGAAACAACTTTATATATAACATGTAATTTCAATTTGAGTGAGATTCCAAATTATATTAATCATTTACAACATATCGTGTGCTATAAAAATAAAAAGAAAAAATATATAAAAGTGAGGAAAAGTCATATATAAATCTTACTATCTATTACATCTGCGTAAATGCAATTGACAAGTCTATCTGTCCAATGTCCAAATCAAAATAATTTACAGTACCATTTTTCATTAGCTCATCAAAATATCCTTTTAAAATAAAACTGTGAAAGTTGCTGAACACAGAAAACAAACGATACTTATAATAGTGTTTGGCCATAAATTTTATATTTTGTTCATTTCACCTTTTCAAATATTAAAACTGATAGTTCCTCAGACTTGTCTCAGAAACTTGTGCAGTACAGTGATAATCCATAGCAATGGATATATAAAAAGAAAGAAAAGTGAAAATTATTCGAATTGCAGGAGTCCAGCCTCTCGATAGCTCTCAACAGAATCAATGAGTGTTTCCTCGAGCGACCTGTATTTCCAACCCAACCTTTCTAGTTTCTCTGAGCTGAACCTTAAGTAATCATCTAGCTCAGTGAAGCTGCCGGCAATGAAGCTTGTAGTTAAGCATGTAACAAAAAACTAGTACATGAAAACAGTTTTCTATCCTCTTACAATCACAATCCCCTAACCTAGGTAGTGAATTCTCCAAAACATGCACTACTTTCATTAATTGTTTGGAAATTTGGATTGATTTTCCTAACAATTTTTCTACAACAAGACTGCAAGTCCTCCAATTTTTTCAGGATAAAGTTGCAAACCTATAATAGTTGCAACATTACTAAAAATATTTCTCTGTCTTTCTCATTGCTCAAAACAATTTGACAGTATAAGTATTTATACTCACGACAACTGGCTTAACAAAGTAACCTACTTTACATGTACTCCTTAGTAATTAATGACTTTTTTTCAGTTGACGAATGTAAGCAAAACAACACAATCACTCTAGTGGGTGAGATTCTTGTAGGCATACTAAAGAAACAAACATCCATTTTGGATTCCATAAAAATTTAATCCAGTATCAGATCCTCTGATATAAATGTTCTGTTGCTACTATTTATCCTTTAGTTTTCTCTCAAAAATAAATCCCCCGTTTATATCTTGCATATCTCATGTTTGAATATTAGTTAAATGATTTGTGGGTACCAATAAAATAAGAAATTATCAATAATAAATTAATAATTCAGGTCAAACACAAGAATCAGCAGCCTGGATCAGAATAATAAGATTTCAATACAGGTACATCAAATCCAAAATAAGGGTGTTTAGGTTGATAATTGGCTTATTACTACAACTTTCCTTTGAATTATAAATCAAGAGAAAGTGAATCTTACTTGGAAGGGTACTTGTAGCTTGGATATATACTCTTCAGTTTCTCTACCAAATCCCGTGTCTTGATGGTGTGTGCAGTGCATATGTATCTCCGTTCTGCCTCAGGCTTCTCGTACACCAAAAGTATTGCATCAACTAAATCCCGTACATCGACTATCCAACGGGTCTTATTTTCAAATGAGTCACCACCTTAAATTTCAGACAAACCAGAAAAAAAAAGACCAATAACATGATTCTCTGTTATTGGACACGTTACACACATATCGGATCTCCAACATATGATTTGAACTAACATTGCACAGTAAGTGAATTGATGTAGTATAACGATAATTTGACAAGGCAATAATTTGACAAGGCAATAGTAGGCACCTTTCAAAAGTTTGGGGAGAACCAAGCTACTTGCATTGACAGTGGTTGACTGCAAAATTGGCCCCCACACAATGGAAGGGCAAATGCTTACCACATCAAGGCCAGTTCTTTTTCCAAAGTCCAGGGCCTGCTCCTCTGCCTCTGTCTTTGAATAACAGTACCAGTTCTATATCATACGTGAGATATTAGTTACATTACCATAACCATTCTCGATGACTGAAACTTGACATATTTTGCAACTTAACCAAAATAAAACAGTCTACTGCATACCCCAATCAAAGACAATGCTACTACCATCATAGAATAAAACGAATGACAAATCCACATCATCAGCACACTTGTAATAAGTTTACAGACCTGAGTTTTTTTGCAGTAATCTTTATCAGACCAATAGGACTCATCAATCACTTTATCTTTAGGCATATTTGGGCCAATGCTAATAGCAGATATCGATGACACATAGACAACTCGTTGTACTTTAGTTTCAAGACAAGCATGAAGTACGTTAATGGTTCCTTGCACAGCAGGTTCAATCACTTCTACCTGAAGAATCAATTGTCTGATACTATCAGCAATCAAAAGAGAAAAGTTATGGTTTCAATTATACGCCTTACATTATCCTAAATCATTATGAAGAAAATCAACCGAGATGTAATCCCAACCCAAGGATTGAAATCAGATAAGATCATGAACATGATATTAACTCCATGATAAAGCCTTCAATTTAAAGTGTTTTGGAAGATATTTCTACTCCCTTTGATCGAAACACACACACACACACATGTTTTCCATTTGTATTAGACAATAGCGTATTATTTAGAAGTTTAGTATTAAAATATATCAATTATTATATTTTAATACACTGTATAAATGAATATGAAAGTAACATGCCTATTTGCTAAACATTAAGATATTTTATTAGTTAGCTTAGACTAGCAGTAGTTTATTTTTTTGAAAATATTTTATGTTTATCAAGAGTTGAAAAAGAAAACATGAAACAAAAAGTATAGAATATTTTCATTTTACTATCGAAATAAACCAAATACATATAACATTATTTAAAAGTAAGTATATTAGATTATATTGGTATCAAACAATTTATCTTCATAGTGCTAGTAATTATAAAATTGAATTACATAAAAAAAAATTGTGTAGGTATCAAACAATTTATCTTCATAGTGCTAGTAATTATAAAATTGAATTACATAAAAAAAAATTGTGTATATATATCTATAGAAAGAGTGTATTTTGTCAATTAATATTTTATACGATTCTAACTACATGATATTTAATTTTATTCACCTATATATAGAGATTTCATATAAAATATTTTACAATAAATTTTATTAAAGTTTCATATAAAGATATTTTATATTAAATTTTTTTTCTCATATCATACTTCTTCCTATCTTGTTGATTTTTTTTTCAAATGTTCACATACTTTATATATAATATCCTGAATTTTATATGTTATAAAACCAAATTATAAACATGAAAACTATTTTTTCTTAAAAGAAATATGGATTTGGATTAACATCCACAGGAATCCTATAAAATTCAGGATATTATATATTTATTCCCAATTAATCCGTTGATCTTGAATCCTTTCAACAATTTCACATGCATAAACAAAATCCTCAACCAGTTGATGTGTTGCGAGGACGAAAGCAAAATGAGAGCCACATAAAATATTGAAAACAACACGTTTGCATAAAAAAAACAATGGACGTTGACGAATGAGATGATTAGGCTTGCCTGAGGGTTGGGAACAACTGTTGAGGGTACAGGACTTGCGACATGAAAAACAGCAGTGCATCCAGCAATTGCTGAGAGGATAGATTCGTAATTCAAGAGATCTGCCTTGAAGAGTGTGAGGTTTTCAAAAGCTCCCTCCAGTTTCTTCAAGTGCTCATATTTCTCACTACCTGCTCATAACTGCTTCTCAAACTTCACTCCAATCCAAACAATTAGAAATCAAGTAAAACGTAACGCACCGGGTTGTCTCACTGTTCCATGGACATTGTAACCTTTGGAGAGAAGAAGCTGAACAAGCCATGACGCCACGAATCCTCCAGCACCAGTCACGCACACCATCTTTGCTGCCATCGATTTCTTCACCTTCTCCGACGTTCTAATTTCGTCCCCTTTTTTTTTTGCTGTTTTATGTTTATCTTAAGATTATGATACTTTCGAACCGGTTGTTATTGATGGAAAGCGACACGTCAATGCAATTTTTTTGTCTTCTTGCGTATCATATTCAGATTAGGTCCATATCCGTAGCCCATTAGGTTCGACTTGTCTGGACTGATTTCGTAGGCCTGGCCCAAATTTCTTAACGAATATATATTTTATGATTCGGTGTAGTATATGTAGTTATACTGAAATTCATCTATTTTACCTTTAATACATTTTATAAATTTCTAATAATGAATAATAATCTTAAATAAAAGTAGCAAATAACATAATATATTATTATAGTCAAATTTATCTTATTATTATTCAACTCTCAATATGAATATTGATTAAATCGAAAAATAATAAAATAGTTTAATAACCTATTCTTCTAGTGTAATTTACTAGATGTTGATTTGAGCATAAAAAATAAAACACGCTAAGGCCTTCGGTGATAAATAAAACATTTTATATAATCTTGTTTGGGTCAAGCCCTTCAGTGATAAAAATGTAAAGATACGAAACTCGGCTCCAACACCTTGGACTCTTAACTGCATTTTTAAGTTTAAATAGATAGTACATAATGGAATAGAGAATAATGGGGTGAACCAAAACTGTTTTACTAATTTATATTGGTAAAAAAAATAATAAAATATAAAAAAGTAAATCATCATCTATTATATTTTATTATTCCACTCCATTCAAGATGCATTTGATGTAACTAATTTTTTAAATTATAGAATAATTATTCTGTCATTGTAAATTTAACTTATTATGGTTAATAAAAAAAATAATGTGAAAATTAAAAAGTTATAACTCACTTCATCACAATTCATTCAATAGAGTTCTAAATCGCTCTCCGGTGGTGATCACCAATGTAAACATAAGGAGACAAATCCAAAACGGATGAGATCTAGATAGTAAAGGCCTCCAAACGGGTTACATCTCAGAAAATGTAATAATGTTTCAAACTTAAGAAATTGCAAGTAAATAGAGACAAGTTGTGAGTGGTTTTAGCTTAAATTCACCCAAAGGGTCTAGGTTATGATAGGTGATTTTGAGTAGTGTGCACAAGATTATAGGTCCAAAGTTTATTGCAACTATTGTACAAAACAATAATCCACCCAAGGCCGGTATAAAATAATTGAAGGAACTGATCAGAATATTAATCTCCTCGTACACAAAAACTGGAATAACAAATTGCATCAGTAATTGATGTGAGGATTGTAGTTGTAAAAACCAGACCTGAAAGCCAGTGATTCAGCCACTTGAGCAGTTTGGTTCATACCTGATTGACCCCAATAAAAATGCACAACCCAGCCGACTTTTCATCGTGCGGCTGGTTTTCTTTCCAATATGTTCATGTTGGGGTTTCTTTCATCTAATCTGCCACCAGATATGCAACCTAAGTTGCCATACTAGTTCGAGATCTATAGCTATGATCAGGATTATCACGAAGACCCAGCTTAGAGATAACAAAGCAATAGGAATCCCAATCAGTTCTTCTGAGGTATTTCAGTAATCTTTTTCTCATCTGAACCATTGCCACCAATCCTTTACGAGAATGAACATCCTAAAGCACCATGGAATTAATAGAGTCAGAAAAGAGTAAATATATATGCTACTCTACATTTACATCGGATTAAATGGACCTTTTATTAAAATGACAGGGTCACATTGCATAGGATAAATCTGATTAGTTACGTTCACAAAGTAAATATGAACTGGTTATAAAGGGTAATAATAACTTCCATAATATATAGCATAGGCTGGTCAACTGACATAAAGAACAGCAAGATGAAACAAAAAACACAATGAGAGTACAGTCACCAATCCAAAATCCTGTCTACGGCCATATCCAAGATTTTATTAAGAAAAATTATAACAACGTTCAGTATATTTGACATGCTCTAGAAATCAAATGAAGCTAAAATCAAATCGTCCCCCATGTTAAACAACTGAATATCAAAAAAAAATGGCAGGGAACCTAGCTAATCTCAGTCTTAAATCATCTGCTACTGAAATTATAATGCTCAAGGCCAGACAAACTAGAGTTAAATCACTTGTTAGTAAAAAATTATAATGCAAATCAAAGTTCTAAGTAAATAACAGAACAACCAACTAATGTCTTCAATGAATGGTGTGTTTTCCCTCGTAACAGTACTATAAGATTATATGGCTCTCTCATCGCATAGTAGAGTGTAATAAAATAAAAGTACTGACACTTTTCAAGAATCTGCTCCTTCCTAATAAAGAAAACATTCAATTAATCATATAGTTGGAATAAAATTTTAAATCAGTTTTTTTAAAATTAAAAAAAAAAAATCTTACATTCTATGAACACAGAACACTAACAAAAGAAATTGGAGGAGCCTGCGACACCGGGGTTTGGGCAACAGACAAGTTCCGCAGGCTCCCGAAAATGGATTCCATGCTGGGGGAGGACGATTCTCCCGATCTGGGGGGATTCCCCTGCACGGTCTGGCGCTGGTAGATTTGCTGGAACGAGAATTGCTGTTGCTGCTGCGACGGGTCGCCCGGCGGAGGTGGACCGGTCTTGGCGCCGAACTCGCTGAGGTTTTTTAGGATCTCGTTTGCGAAGGGTGGTTGGGAGCGAGGGTTTGAGGAAGGTGAAGAGGGTTGTTTGAGACTTTCCTTGACATCTATGAAAAGGGAAGAGAAGGGAGAGTTGGAGTCGGAGTTAGAATCGGAATTCGAAGTAGAGAAGAAGAGGGTGCGAGAGCTGGTTGCCCTCCGACGATTGAGACGGAGAAGAAGGGCCATGGCAGAAGAGTGCACTGGAGAGGGTTCGTTAGGGTTTTAGTATATGCTAATGACTCTGTGATTATGTTTTTTCTTGCAGGTTTCGAATGGTCTGATGGAGATTCGAAGGAGATTGGTGTTGATGCGAGGAAGACGAATATGGTGATATCCGCAGCGATGGGTTTGTTCGCAGGTCTGACAAGGTTTATGGAGGTTCAGGCACGAAGGTGGCGTGTTGGGAGTGTGGTTGACGAGAGGTTGATGGTGTATCGATGGAGATGAAGGCGGCTTTTGGTGGCTGACCCGTGAGGAAGACGAACTCCTGAGGAAGAAGAATTTCTAGCGGTGGCGGTGGATGATCCACCCGTGGAGNTATATATCTATAGAAAGAGTGTATTTTGTCAATTAATATTTTATACGATTCTAACTACATGATATTTAATTTTATTCACCTATATATAGAGATTTCATATAAAATATTTTACAATAAATTTTATTAAAGTTTCATATAAAGATATTTTATATTAAATTTTTTTTCTCATATCATACTTCTTCCTATCTTGTTGATTTTTTTTTCAAATGTTCACATACTTTATATATAATATCCTGAATTTTATATGTTATAAAACCAAATTATAAACATGAAAACTATTTTTTCTTAAAAGAAATATGGATTTGGATTAACATCCACAGGAATCCTATAAAATTCAGGATATTATATATTTATTCCCAATTAATCCGTTGATCTTGAATCCTTTCAACAATTTCACATGCATAAACAAAATCCTCAACCAGTTGATGTGTTGCGAGGACGAAAGCAAAATGAGAGCCACATAAAATATTGAAAACAACACGTTTGCATAAAAAAAACAATGGACGTTGACGAATGAGATGATTAGGCTTGCCTGAGGGTTGGGAACAACTGTTGAGGGTACAGGACTTGCGACATGAAAAACAGCAGTGCATCCAGCAATTGCTGAGAGGATAGATTCGTAATTCAAGAGATCTGCCTTGAAGAGTGTGAGGTTTTCAAAAGCTCCCTCCAGTTTCTTCAAGTGCTCATATTTCTCACTACCTGCTCATAACTGCTTCTCAAACTTCACTCCAATCCAAACAATTAGAAATCAAGTAAAACGTAACGCACCGGGTTGTCTCACTGTTCCATGGACATTGTAACCTTTGGAGAGAAGAAGCTGAACAAGCCATGACGCCACGAATCCTCCAGCACCAGTCACGCACACCATCTTTGCTGCCATCGATTTCTTCACCTTCTCCGACGTTCTAATTTCGTCCCCTTTTTTTTTTGCTGTTTTATGTTTATCTTAAGATTATGATACTTTCGAACCGGTTGTTATTGATGGAAAGCGACACGTCAATGCAATTTTTTTGTCTTCTTGCGTATCATATTCAGATTAGGTCCATATCCGTAGCCCATTAGGTTCGACTTGTCTGGACTGATTTCGTAGGCCTGGCCCAAATTTCTTAACGAATATATATTTTATGATTCGGTGTAGTATATGTAGTTATACTGAAATTCATCTATTTTACCTTTAATACATTTTATAAATTTCTAATAATGAATAATAATCTTAAATAAAAGTAGCAAATAACATAATATATTATTATAGTCAAATTTATCTTATTATTATTCAACTCTCAATATGAATATTGATTAAATCGAAAAATAATAAAATAGTTTAATAACCTATTCTTCTAGTGTAATTTACTAGATGTTGATTTGAGCATAAAAAATAAAACACGCTAAGGCCTTCGGTGATAAATAAAACATTTTATATAATCTTGTTTGGGTCAAGCCCTTCAGTGATAAAAATGTAAAGATACGAAACTCGGCTCCAACACCTTGGACTCTTAACTGCATTTTTAAGTTTAAATAGATAGTACATAATGGAATAGAGAATAATGGGGTGAACCAAAACTGTTTTACTAATTTATATTGGTAAAAAAAATAATAAAATATAAAAAAGTAAATCATCATCTATTATATTTTATTATTCCACTCCATTCAAGATGCATTTGATGTAACTAATTTTTTAAATTATAGAATAATTATTCTGTCATTGTAAATTTAACTTATTATGGTTAATAAAAAAAATAATGTGAAAATTAAAAAGTTATAACTCACTTCATCACAATTCATTCAATAGAGTTCTAAATCGCTCTCCGGTGGTGATCACCAATGTAAACATAAGGAGACAAATCCAAAACGGATGAGATCAAGATAGTAAAGGCCTCCAAACGGGTTACATCTCAGAAAATGTAATAATGTTTCAAACTTAAGAAATTGCAAGTAAATAGAGACAAGTTGTGAGTGGTTTTAGCTTAAATTCACCCAAAGGGTCTAGGTTATGATAGGTGATTTTGAGTAGTGTGCACAAGATTATAGGTCCAAAGTTTATTGCAACTATTGTACAAAACAATAATCCACCCAAGGCCGGTATAAAATAATTGAAGGAACTGATCAGAATATTAATCTCCTCGTACACAAAAACTGGAATAACAAATTGCATCAGTAATTGATGTGAGGATTGTAGTTGTAAAAACCAGACCTGAAAGCCAGTGATTCAGCCACTTGAGCAGTTTGGTTCATACCTGATTGACCCCAATAAAAATGCACAACCCAGCCGACTTTTCATCGTGCGGCTGGTTTTCTTTCCAATATGTTCATGTTGGGGTTTCTTTCATCTAATCTGCCACCAGATATGCAACCTAAGTTGCCATACTAGTTCGAGATCTATAGCTATGATCAGGATTATCACGAAGACCCAGCTTAGAGATAACAAAGCAATAGGAATCCCAATCAGTTCTTCTGAGGTATTTCAGTAATCTTTTTCTCATCTGAACCATTGCCACCAATCCTTTACGAGAATGAACATCCTAAAGCACCATGGAATTAATAGAGTCAGAAAAGAGTAAATATATATGCTACTCTACATTTACATCGGATTAAATGGACCTTTTATTAAAATGACAGGGTCACATTGCATAGGATAAATCTGATTAGTTACGTTCACAAAGTAAATATGAACTGGTTATAAAGGGTAATAATAACTTCCATAATATATAGCATAGGCTGGTCAACTGACATAAAGAACAGCAAGATGAAACAAAAAACACAATGAGAGTACAGTCACCAATCCAAAATCCTGTCTACGGCCATATCCAAGATTTTATTAAGAAAAATTATAACAACGTTCAGTATATTTGACATGCTCTAGAAATCAAATGAAGCTAAAATCAAATCGTCCCCCATGTTAAACAACTGAATATCAAAAAAAAATGGCAGGGAACCTAGCTAATCTCAGTCTTAAATCATCTGCTACTGAAATTATAATGCTCAAGGCCAGACAAACTAGAGTTAAATCACTTGTTAGTAAAAAATTATAATGCAAATCAAAGTTCTAAGTAAATAACAGAACAACCAACTAATGTCTTCAATGAATGGTGTGTTTTCCCTCGTAACAGTACTATAAGATTATATGGCTCTCTCATCGCATAGTAGAGTGTAATAAAATAAAAGTACTGACACTTTTCAAGAATCTGCTCCTTCCTAATAAAGAAAACATTCAATTAATCATATAGTTGGAATAAAATTTTAAATCAGTTTTTTTAAAATTAAAAAAAAAAAATCTTACATTCTATGAACACAGAACACTAACAAAAGAAATTGGAGGAGCCTGCGACACCGGGGTTTGGGCAACAGACAAGTTCCGCAGGCTCCCGAAAATGGATTCCATGCTGGGGGAGGACGATTCTCCCGATCTGGGGGGATTCCCCTGCACGGTCTGGCGCTGGTAGATTTGCTGGAACGAGAATTGCTGTTGCTGCTGCGACGGGTCGCCCGGCGGAGGTGGACCGGTCTTGGCGCCGAACTCGCTGAGGTTTTTTAGGATCTCGTTTGCGAAGGGTGGTTGGGAGCGAGGGTTTGAGGAAGGTGAAGAGGGTTGTTTGAGACTTTCCTTGACATCTATGAAAAGGGAAGAGAAGGGAGAGTTGGAGTCGGAGTTAGAATCGGAATTCGAAGTAGAGAAGAAGAGGGTGCGAGAGCTGGTTGCCCTCCGACGATTGAGACGGAGAAGAAGGGCCATGGCAGAAGAGTGCACTGGAGAGGGTTCGTTAGGGTTTTAGTATATGCTAATGACTCTGTGATTATGTTTTTTCTTGCAGGTTTCGAATGGTCTGATGGAGATTCGAAGGAGATTGGAGGTGATGCGAGGAAGACGAATATGGTGATATCCGCAGCGGTGGGTTTGTTCGCAGGTCTGACATGGTTTATGGCGGTTCGGGCACGAAGGTGGCGTGCTGGGAGTGTGGTTGACGAGAGGTTGATAGTGTATCGATGGAGATGAAGGCGGCTTTTGGTGGCTGACACGTGAGGAAGACAAAATCCTGAGGAAGAAGAATTTCTAGCGGTGGCCGTGGATGATCCACCCGTGGAGGGAGATTGGCAGCTCCATTTGGCCCAATTTTGCTTCAAAAAAAAAAAAAAAAAACATAACAAAACAAAATAAAGGATGGCTTCGGCCTCGAATCCAGTACATAGAAAACAAAACATATAAGAGAGTTCCTCCCTAAACCACTTCCTCCACCACCCCCATTCTCCAATTGTCCTTCAATGGTTAAAAAATATCAAAACCTTAATGGAAATTTGAGATCCTTTGGATCTTCAACGAATATCAACATCTTTTAAAGTCAAACGTATCTTTCATATGTATTTTGGCCTTCTCATTTTCTTCAATCATTTCATACAACAACATATCATTGTACAACACATATAACATATCAGTAGCAAATAAAATAGAAGCAACGACGCAACACAATGGAAGCAATGAAATAATAGAGGGAGGAAATATAAGTGAGAAGAATAAAAGAGAAAAAGAAGAGTAAGAAGAATAGAGTGAAAAGAGAGGCTCTTTGTGGAGGTGTAGGGCATGCTAGCCGCGACAATGGAAAAAAGGAAGAGAATAGGATTAGGGTTTTATATTAAATAAGATAAAAGTAAAAAAAAAAGAGTTACTTAAGATTAGTTTTGAAATAAAAAAAAAACGTTGGGAAGGTGTAGGCTAAAAACCGTGTGGTGGAGGGAGTAACTCCCAAAATATAAATGAAAACATTAAGAAGGTTTTGGGCCTTGAGCTCATTTGATTTCTCTGGGAGTTACTCCCTCCACCAACACACATTGCTTCCTGCACCTCTCCATTCCTTTTGTACCCTTTAATAATATTTAAACGGATGTGAATATACGTTGGATTCTTAAATGAATTTCAACATCCGTACACGAATATTGACATCATNCGTAACAGTACTATAAGATTATATGGCTCTCTCATCGCATAGTAGA